GAAGCCTTAACTGACCCTAGGTGGAAAGCAGCTATGAACGAGGAGATGAAATCCTTGCAGAAAAATGAAACTTGTGAACTCATTGATCCTCCACCAGGAAAGAAACCAGTTAGATGTCGACGGATTTACACTATGAAGTATAAAGTAGATGGCACAGTTGAACATTTTAAAGCAAGATTGGTGGCGAAAGGTTACACCCAAACCTATGAAATCGATTACACAAAGACATTTGCACTTGTAGCCAAAATAAACATAGTTCGTGTCTTATTGTCTTTAGCTGCGAACTTGGATTGACCATTGCAACAATTCGATGTGAAGAATGCCTTTCTGCATGGTGAATTATCTAAAGAAGTCTACATGGATCTCCCACCAGGATGTATGATACCTAAAAAGAATAGTCGGAAAGTCTGCAGGTTAAAGAAATCATTATATGGGTTAAAATAATCTCCAAGAGCATGGTTTAGAAGATTCAGAAAGTCTATGATAGCCTTTGGCTTTCGTTAGAGCAATTTAGACCACACATTATTTCTGAAGAAATAACAGGGTAAGATCACTGCACTCATTTGTATATGTAGATGACATGGTAGTTACAGGGAATGATCCTGAAGAAATGAAGGCTCTTAAGAAATACTTGTCCAGAGAATTCGAAATGAAAGATCTAGGTCTTTTGAGATATTTTCTTGGGATCGAAGTATCTCGATCTAACAAAGGAATCTTTCTATCTCAAAGAAAATATGCCTTAGATTTATTACAAGAGATTGACATGACAACATGTTAACCAGCTGAAACACCAGTGGAAGAAGGACTGAAGTTATGTGTTGAGTCCAACCAAGTACCTGCTAATAAAGGAAGATACTAAAGACTTACAAGGAGATTGATGTAATACTCCTAATTTTAAAAAGGATAGTCTCGGCATTTTAATTTTTCTTTTATTGCATTTTTATTTGTTTATTTATTAATTTGGGTTGTTTAATTGATTATTTGTTTTATTTTTATTTTATTTTTGAATTTAAATTGATTTAATTATTTTATGTGAATTATTTGATTTATTGTTTTGTGTGAATTATTTGAATTATTTAATTGTCTAATTATTGTGTGCTAATTAAATTGTTAATTGTATTATTCCATTTAAAGTCACTGTTGTAAAAATTAGGTTATTAAATTAGGTTAGGGTTTTAGCTTTATAATAGAATTAACATATGTAGCCGACATTTATATCATAGCTTGGTTTATGGGCCAGGTAAGTCAGTTAGGGTTTAATTGAACCTAAGATTAGTTGGTTTATAAATATACAAGTAATGTTCTGCCTAGGGTTTTAGAACCCTGTTCACAGTTGTGGAGGCAGAGAGAAACCAGAGGGGGCAAAAAGAGAGTTCGCCGGAGAATTTAGGAAGACGTCGGTGTAAGGCAAGTTCTAATCCTAACTCTATCCCGTTGACTTGTGTTCTTTGCATGTCTAATGCAACTCCAAGAATGTATAAGGATTAAAAGTAAACTAGTTTTCATGTCTCTGTTATTTTTTAAACTGAACGTAGCCTTGAGTTATATTGCTTGTTCTGAAATCTTTTGTATGTAACTCATACAATAATTCATGTAACTAGATGTATAATTCATGTAAATTGCTTTATAAAGAGTTGAGTTAGTTTGTGTCACTCTGAGAAGTTTTAATATTACTCTGGTTTGCATGATTGTTTTACTTAGAACAGTGCGTGTTCTTGAATGGTAAACTGCTCATTCTAACTCCTTATTGCATAATTCTTGCTATGATTGTTGTCGGTGAATGACTAAGGCATTAAACTGTTGGTCCACATTGTGACATAATTTTAACCAGTAGTAACCTTAGAATTTAAGACGGATGCACTGGACGTTGCCAGAGAGGACACAGTTGGAGAAGATGAGTAGATTAGGAGCAAAGGGGCAAAGAGGCGGCTCCCCACAAGGGGGAGTCGGCTCCAGGAGAGTTGGAGGCGGCTCCACATGGTGTGGAGCCGGCTCCACTCAAAGGGGAGGCGGCTCCCCTTATGGGGAGACGTCTCCTTTTTCCTTTTGTTGTGTTTTGACGCCTTGGGTTGATTTCGGGCTTGTTTCTGATGCTACCGGTGTGTTTAGGGGCTGTAATTGGGAGATTTGGTTGAGGTCTATGATCAACTTAAGTTTTGAGAGGGCTTGATAATGCATGATAAATCAAGTAAGGTTTGCTGTTAGAACAGTATTTAATTTTTAAGTAAAATTAGTAGACTGTTTTTGGACTAAGAATTTAAATTGCACAACCTTATGGGTAGAAGTTTATCTGTGAATGGAGTTATGGTTTGTTCATGTGTTTGTAGTAAATTATAAGCTTGTTAGATTATAGGATGATTGTATGCTTATAATGGATAAATGATGAAAACATACATTAATTGTGTCATCGGTTCCTGAACAATTGTGTAGTATTATAAGGTGAGCATGTAAATCTGTATATTCTGTTATGCTATCTTGGAGTTAAATTGATGTTTATATGCATGACATGTATTATCAATTATTGGATTTTGGGAAAGTAGTATGTATAAGCCAGTTAAATAATACAATTTTACCATGCTTAATCTGGAACCATTGATGTTTGTATCTAATGTTTTACTATAAATTGTTAGATAAGCGAAATAGTTGATAACTACAGTTATTACTTGTTTTATCAACTGCTGGATGACAGATTACATGCACCGGTATGGGACGGTGGCATGTCTAGGTTTGGATTAATTCAAAATACTAAATCCTACCTACATGGAATAAGGGAATGGATTCTAAAATAAATCCTACTTATACTTAAGTCAAAGAAGCTGCACAAGCTGAATGACTAATTGGATTGCGGGTTATCTATGTTAGGTCAAAGAAGCTGCACAAGCTGAATGACCAACTAGATTTCTTATGGATGGATGGAATAGGACTTTAAATATATTTTTATGGTACCACGATATGAGCTTGAGTCTCAGAGTCGACGGTTAGGATGCGTATATGCAGTAGGATGCGTAGCTGGATATGCTAGGTTGAGGTGTACCCTGTTAGGCTTAGGTACTCATGCCCACTCAGGTGCGCTTTGTATGTTACCTTCTATTCAGGTTGAGATCCCTTGCATAGTCCAGTGAGTCCTGTAGTGTAGATATATAAATATATACGAACTATATATATATTGTTAAGTTGGTTAGAATGTATATGCGTATCGAGTCTCCGCTTGGATTGTAGTAGGATAAAACTTGTTCATAGGCCTGACCCACTTCTATTTTTCAGGTACACATCAGTTCCAGACTTAGACCTGATCGTGCTGAGCAGAGATTACTACTCACTTTCCGATGACGTAGGACCTCTCTCCATGGATTAATTTTAGATGTCTTGTAGTTTTATTTCAGTTTGGATTTTTGTATTAGGGGTCTAATGGATGGATTCCCGAGTTGTTTAGCTATTGGAGGTTTTGGATTTAAGTATTTAATGTTAAAGGATTTTATTTTTAGAATTCTTCCAGCTTTTGTTTATTTCTTATTTCATTTTGTATTCCGTGTTCGTTTTAAATATTAATTGTTTGATATTCCCTCGGGTTTGGGCTTGGGTCTGATCAACCCGTGTCTCGGATTCGAGGGGTATCACAATTGATGTACTTAGCACACACGAGACCGGATCTGGCTTATGCATTGAGCATTGTTAGGCAGTTTATGCATGATCCTGGAGAGCAACATATGAATGCAGTTATGCGAATTTTGAGGTATTTGAAATTTGCTCTTGGAAAAGGAATGTTGTTCACTTAAAATGTTGGTTATCAAAACATAGCTGCATATACTGATACTGACTGGGCTGGAGCTATAAATGATAGGCGATCTACTTCTGGTTACTTCACCTTTGTAGGAGGTAATCTTGTTAAATGGAAAAGCAAGAAACAAAATGTTGTTGCTCGCTCGAGTGCAGAAGCTGAATTCAGAGGTATGACGCTTGCACTTTATGAAACATTGTGGTTAAGACTTCTATTGCGGGATTTGGGTTATCTACCTGGGCAACCTATTCGACTATATTGTGACAATAAAGCAGCATGTGATATTGCCTATAATCCAGTTCAACATAAACGTACGAAGCATGTTGAAATAGATAGATTCTTCATTAAGGAGAAGTTGGATGGGAAAATTGTGGAGTTGCCTAAGATTTGATCTGAGGATCAACTAGTTGACATTCTCACCAAAGCAGTCTCAAATCAAGTGTTTTAAAATTTTTTAGACAAGTTGGGTATGTGTGACATCTATGCACTAACTTGAAGGGGAGTGTTGAGATTTTATCTCTTATAGTACCGTTGTAGGATTGAATTATTTACTCCTTGATTTAAGGTTAATTGGTAGGTAATTAGTTACATATTTTAGCTAATCTTATTATATAAATTGAATGTAATATTCATTGATGAATATCGAATAGAGTTTTTAATTCTCATATTCTTTCTCTGAATTTCAAGAGGTACTCACACACACATGTCTCTTTTGAGACTTGAACTCCTAGCCTCCTTTTGAGGGTAATGGGCTGATACTGCTGAGCCACTGACGCATTGGTAAATAAAGCAATTCAAATATAATTTTCGTTTAATAATCGTGTCAGAAATCCTCACATGACTCATTTATTAAACAAGTTACATAAATAACATGTTTAATCCGTTTAATTTAAAAACGAGTCAGGTAACTCATTTATTAATTTAAATATAAAAATTAAAAATACAATGAAACAATTGAGATAATTCAAAACAAAATTCATAAAAATGAGAATAATTTGAATAATATAATTAAAAAAATGTCAAATACAATATTCATATTGAGATTATATGAAAATAATAGAAATTAATCTAATAGGATTAATTAAACAGGTTTAGTTCGGATTAAAATAGTTGAACTTCAAAACATTAATTAAACAAGTTAGTACGAATATGACATGAATATGATTAAGGTGGTGCTAAACCCGCTAATTTTGTATATGTGATGGATCGTGTTAAACACGCTCGAACCGTTTGTGTTTGGTTCATTTGGCAGCCCTAAATCTCGGCTATGTCCGTGTCCGTGCTTTTCTGTTACCCTCTTTTCATTCATTCCCTTCTATTCCTCTCTCCTCACTTATTTACGAAACAAATATGAGATAAAACTCAACTCGATTTCTTCGTTCTTTCAATTTTATTGTTCCCAACAGTATTCGATTCCTCTTCGATATCAGAAAAAAATTATCAATGTTCTGTAATCCCTAATAGGATGATAAATTCAAACAATTGATTCGATCTCGTGATGAATTCAATCAATCCCTACGACTTCGATCTCTCAATGCTATCATCACCTAATGGTTAGTACTTCTTGAACTTCTGCGTTTTCGTTTTGTTAATCTCTAACCCAAAACCCTAGCGGCAATTTTCCTTCAGAATGAATGTTGTTTGTTTCTACAGTGTGCTTAGTTTTTTCTCTGGTCGATTCAGAGTCGGTGATGTACGTTGTAGTGTCGCTTGGTCACATTTGAGGGTTCGAACGTTTGATTAATCGTCCAAGGTTTTGAAGCTTCTGGTATATCTTCACATGGCAGAGACTTCGAGGTCTCGAGTCACAATCACTTTGGGACGTAGTGGGCAGGTACGTTATCTATTTCATCCTCTCTGTCTTCATCGCAAATTAGGGTTTCGTTTATTTTCTGGGTTTTACATATGCTAATTTATCAGAGAAAATTTTGTGTACCCAAATTGCTAGTTGTGTTATTTAACTGTTTTGGTTCTATGGATTGCACTAGAGGGCTATTATAGGATGACTATTGATTCACTTATCTATTGATATACAGGTGGTAAAGAGGGCAGGACCTGCAGTAGATGGTACGTTTTCTGATTCTCACCCAGCAGCTGGAAGTAAGAGGTCGGTTAGAGATAGACTAGGAGGAAGTGATGTGGATGGAGCCCAATTCAACAGCAAAAGGTGTGTTTCGTCTTCCCTTTATATTATTGTTTTGTGAGCTAGCTTTGAATTTTGGTGATGGTCCTTCTGAGGTTGGCTTTACTTTTTATGTATAAATGTATATTCACAGATGGGTTTAGAAGAATATGCTTGTTTGGGTGGGTATACTGACATTCAGACATGCTTAAGATTGTTTGGCTTTTAAAACAAAATTGAAATGTTCTACTTATATGAGTGGTAATCTAAACTAGAAAATGCCAGTGGGCTTGTGTTGTGAAAAATAAGTGTTTACAGTTGGAAGATTTCTCTAATTTTAATTTTATTTTTTTTATGGTTGCAAATTTTCTTTTTGCAGACAAAGAGGAGATGGTGTTGCTAATTCTGTTGGTGGTAATAGCCTTACTTGTGGCTTTATATTATTGCATTTCTGTTTGAATTGATTTCTGAATTTCTAATGTGGGTGCCTTTGATATAGTTAAAGATATGCGCCTTGGTAAAGGTGACCTCCGGTTCAAACTTATGCGAAAAAATGTGCTTAGGCAAGTTCAAAGCGATGGCAAGCAGAATGGAGTGGACCTTCGTGACACGCTGTCTAGGGAAATTCGATCTTCAACTTCTAATCCAAATATGCGGCAGCGCATGCCCGAACCAACCAGGCAGCACATTTCTGAGCCAAAGGATGTCAGCATATTTAGTCGAATTCCTTCCACGAGAAGTGCAGATGCATTGCCCCAAATAGATTCCTTGAGAAATTCGTATTCTCCATGGACTTTGGATCGTTTAAGGCGAAGATCACCGGATGAAACTTTTCAAACATCTAGGGGTCGTTCACCTCGAAGGAATGAGGAAGAACTACCAAAGAGGCCATTAATGAGAACATATGATGATGTCAGGACAGTTCCATACATTAGCAAAGATATTCTTGAGCCTTCAAGACCCATGGGCTCTTCACCTTTTGTGACAAAATCAACAGTATCTTCTGGACCTGTGAAGGCTGTGGCACCCCCGCCTCCTCCATCGAGCAGCATTGTTCAGAGAAGTTCATACACAGTACAAACTACTAGCCTCCTTCCCCCTCCCTTGAAATTTAATATTGTAGCTTCATGTCACTTAGATATTTAATCTATATGATAGCCTTTGATATATTTTCATTAGTCGTGTTCATTGCTTTAATCCATAACATTTTGCTTTTTCTTTAAACGTCAGGGAAAAATCTAATACTAGTTATTGGATTGCTTAACCATGTAGATTTAGCTGTATTTAATGTATATTAAGGTGATAAAAGACTTAGAAAGGGACTAGACAAAACTTTGAAGCTGTTCTCATAGAGAATAAAATTTGCTGTAGATCTGTGGTTAAATTTCTGCATTTAACATACTTCCCTTTTGACGTGATAAATGTTGAGTTGATTTCCAGTATACAAGTTAGTTTGAGTATGTAACTTGGCTGGTTACTTTGCCCAAACAACATCAAGTTTTTGTGTTGGCAATAATCTTCCTGCATTGAAGTGCGACTGCTAAGGGACATAATTAGAAATTTTTCAATAATTGTATATTTTTGGAGTGTGCATGAATTTCTTACTCTGTATTAAGTTCCTAAGGGTTCTAGAATGCATTCATTCAATAAGCTTGTTTTTAAGGTGACAGTTGTTGGTAACTTGGTATATAGTCGGGTTACCCTTGCTTACGTGTGTGTACGTTGGAAATTGGAGTTGCCTAGTTGGTATGAATCAGGTTGCTTTTGACATCAGGACACCTATCGCCACCTGAAAAATTGAAAAACTGAGCTGTTTGGGCAAGTTGATGGGCCAGGTCATTTTTTTCTTTCTAGATCTACATTATTTTGGATGATAGGTTTTTGTGCATGGCACTATGATTTACATTATTCTTCGTTATTCGAAGATTATAGAAACTTATAAAAGTAATTTGAATAAAAGGGCAGAACGAGAATGTTCATATTAGGTGGGGGTTGGGGGGGGTGGGGGTGGTGGGGGAGGGGGTGGGGGTGTTGTTAAAATGAAGGATGCAAAGAAATTTAGGTTATGCTTGAGGAGCCATTCTAATAGAATAAATAATTTAGGGGTTTACTTTAATAATTTTTGTAAAGGGTTCCTTATAGACTTCATCATACGTCATTGGGTGTTCAAAAGACTAATTTGACTTTTGAGATATTTTTATTTTAAAAAGCATATATGGAGGCAGTGCCCTCCCTGGGCTTATATGTGTATATGGTTCCATCACGATTGTATTCACCTGTTTCTTAAATTATAATATGTTTTTTATTTGACCTATTTTAGCCCCCGCTTAGTACATTTCTGCAACATGGCAACATGTGATATGATTTAGGATAGGTTCTGTTAAGTTTGACTTAGTATGATGCTCTCTATACATATATAAGCAATCTATATGACAAATTCGCATGTTTCACCATTTCCTTTTCTGATTTTCTCGGATTTGGCTTGTTATAAAGCACAACCATCTTTTCTTGCCTTCTCTTTTCTTAGATGCTTTTGTTATTTACAGTGAAACAGAAATGCTGGTACTCCAACCATTTCAAAGTTTCTGATGAAATTTAACTCATTTTGTTACTTGGGGTGTTTTTCCTCCTGATTTTTTATCATCTCAGTTGTTCAATGTTGGGTTTTCACATGCTTTGCTGACTAAATTATTTTCTTGTTGGTTTTAATGTTATGTAGGGCGACGAACATCTTACTGTGGATGGATTGTTGCATTCGTTGGGTTTGGAAAAATATGCAATATATTTTAGGGCTGAGGAAGTATGTAAACTAAACTTCTCTCTGATGCTCTTTTAGTAGTTTGTAACCAGTATATTTAAATTTGCCAAAGATTCGAGATTTTGCATATTGTGCATTAGATATATCAAACTATTATCCAAACATATACACCTTATCATTCGTATGTCATTATGTGTATTGCATATCCCATATCCATGATTATGTGATCTGTATGATTTTTTTTTTTGTGTGTGTGTGTGTGTTTTTTTTTTTTGGGAGGGGATGGGGGGCAATACTTTGTGTATTATTGGCTCTTCTGTTTCTCTCTGTATTGCATATACCATTTCCAAGAACATCATTCATATTAAGAGGGGACTATTCTTAGTGTTATTGCTGCTCCTTTTTTTTTTTTTTTCCCCGAGTTGGTTGTAAGTTCCACCAAATGGGGAATACTTTAAGCATATTATTGGCTCTTCTGTTGCTCTCTCTCTCTCTCTCTCTTGTATTGCCCTTATCATATCCAAGGGCGTCACTCATTTTAATAGGGGCCTATTCTTAGTGTTATTGCTGCTCTTTGTTTAGTTGTGAGGCTTTTTTTTTTCCCCCTGTACTAGTTTGAAGTTTCACCAAATGGTTTCTGAAATGGAATTTTATCAACCCACTCATATACTTGTTCTTTCCTCCTTCAATTTCATCCTGGAAGTTTCTTTCTCTTTTAGAATTAAGTTCTGAGTTCCCCTATGACTTGCTTCCCAATCAGGGCTATTTTCTGGCTAGTTAATGAATTTTCCCAAGTTCTCTCTTGTCAAATAATACCTTATCCTTCAGAGCTGTCACCCTGGATGTATGGTTATTCTGGTTTGGGGACAAGTTTTAGTTGCAGAGTGATATTCTATTAAATTCTTTGACTACACTTTAATATTGAATTGTGGTATTACTTTCTTATTAAACTTACAATTTAACTTAATTTCTGTTTTTTTAAAGGTTTTGGTGGTTGTAATTAGTTTTGATAAATTCTTTGTACTTTTCTTTCTTTCTTTCCTTCTTTATTTATTCTTGTTTTTTTTTTTTTTTTTTTAAAAGGTAATTATGCATCAGTTAAATCCTAGATGTGTCAAGTGCAGGTTCCTTTTTTATTTTTTGGCTCATGTATAAATAGTTAAGGCTTGGTCTGGGTTTAAACTGCACCCTAACAGTTGCACGCATGTTGTACTTCCAATGTTATTTGGTGGACCAGATTGACAGTTACTAGTCGTGGTTAATGGTGGTCCTTTATGGTTCACAACTGCTTATGGGAACATCAATCTTCGACATATTTGTTATAATTTTACATGGGAAGTAGCCAATTCTGCATGTGTGATCAATAGAGTAAACATCAAAGCGCACCACAATTACTGCAAAAACTTGAGAATGTGGTTGGTTTTCTAACTGGTCAGGAGACGTAATAGTTCACTTCAAACAAGAGATGCTAATCATGCTAGTGTTACCCATTCAAGTGATTGTAGTAGATTGTGGCAGTAGAAATCTGGAATTTGTCTGATCAAAAATGATATTTGTCATGAAAAAAATATTTATTGACAAGAATTTTGAAGGTGTCACATATGCCATAGTCATATCCATCTCCTATTGGATGTGGATATAGTAGTCATGTTCATTATTTATAGGTAGCATTTGGAAAGGATCCATCAGCACATAAACATGTAGAGTTTTTTTGAAATTTGGAACCGTTTTATGGAAGCACATAAGAGACCTCTCAAGTGGTATAAGAGTAAACATTTCACCTTTCTTAAAATTTAGATGCTGTGTTGTCTTATGGAGCTTATGAGAGTACATCTTCAGCATTTTGGAAGTCAGTGTATAACGGTAGAAAGGCAGTGTGTTCTTGGTACTGTCTTCATATGTAGTACTCAAATCAGGATAACTTAGTTGATAGGCAAGTTTTTCATATTAATAGGTGAGTTTTACTTCTTATTTAAGCTTAGTGAAATATTATGTGTAGATTTCCAGTTTCTTGTAGGCAACATTCATGCATCGGTTCAGCTTACCTGTGCCTTATTCTTATGCTTCGTTCGGTAGGAAGGATAAAAATTGGAAGGGAGAGAAGAAGGGATGGATGAGAAATCCCTAGGGAAGAGATTTTGTCCTTCCTCTTTTGTTCGGTTGGATGGAATAGAAGAGAAGTTGAAAACTTACTATGTTCGTCAGGAGAGAACGGAAGAGAGTTTTAAATTGTTTTGACCACCATACCCCATTATTTTTGTAATTTATGACGTATAGTATTGTAATTTAAAACTTTTATAATAGCGTCACTTGTCTTCCCTCCTCTCTTCCATCCATATTTGGAAGGATGAAAATTTTTGGAGGAGGAAGGGATGACTCATACATCCTATTATCGTTTCTCTCTTTGTCTTCTCTCTACCGAACGAAGGAAGTGTGTTCCTTCCTATCTTCCCTTTACCTCTCATCCTTCCTTCCTACCAAATGAAACATTAGTCTACATCCTTTATAATTTGTCTGCAACACTGTTTTCTTCCATGTAGTTTACTAAGTAGTGTAAGCTGCAATGAGACCCAGGCATCATTTAATATGTGAACCATGTCATTTTATCAATCATTATTTTTTTTAAGCTAAATAATTGCTTGGTCAAAGAGGACATTTCATTTCTCTTCTCTTCTCTTCTCTTCTCTTCTTTTCTTTTCTTTTCTTTCTTTCTTTGTTTTTTTCCCCCTTCCCTTTTTCTGTTTTCCTTTAAGTTTGATGATTTCTTGTAATTTGCAGTCAACATTGAAATTATTATTTCTTATCAAGCCGATTTCTGATCCATTTGATCTATTTCTACAGATAGATATGCCTGCTTTGAGGCAGATGGGAGATCATGATCTCAAAGAATTGGGAGTACCAATGGTATTATTCTATGTTTAGCATCTGTTAATTTCCCACTGAATGTGATTAAAAAAAATCAGAGTTTGATGTTTATGTGCATTAGTGTTTATAGTTTTAAAGCAGAACCTTTACTCTTTGTGGCTCGTCTTTATGCTGTCATAGCTGTGACTTTGTTTGCAGGCAGTGTCTGTTTCTATCTGACATCTTTTAGATTCCAACATTTACTTTTCATTTCTGCCCATTTATTTGCTGTGCCATTAGTCTTGCCCCATAGTTGGAGTATGAGAAATTATTACATGGTCCTGCGCCAATCATCATTGACATGCAAGCAAATGTGTCAGAAATGTGCAAAGCTTTATTCAGCTTTGTGCTTACATGTCAAACGGTGATTGGCTGGGACCAATGGTACCGGGACCATATAATAATTTCTCGTTGAAGTATACAGTCACCTATTAATAGATTATATTGTTTTCACTGCACTAAGTATGTGATAGCCTGTGATGCTGACATGCACGACCATGTAATAATTTCTCGTTGAAGTATACAGTCACCTATTAATAGATTATATTGTTTTCACTGCACTAAGAATGTGATAGCCTGTGATGCTGACATGCACGTATAATGTATAATGGTGTGATGTAATGACTTACTATGCACTGAGAGAATTCAGGAGTTGTTAACTTTAGATCTAGTGGGAACCAGAAGCAGAGTACTAATCTGATTATGTTGATTTTGGAGATGGTCCCCGGTGATAGAAAACAACCTTGTTTGAGATGCAGTGGCCCAAGTCCTGGAATCAATTTACAAAATATGAGAGTCAATAGTAGGGGCTTGTCTTCTTCCATTATCTCCTTTCTGGTTTGGCATGTTCAAATGCTAAATGAAACAAATGCAATGATTTCAGATGGCAACTTCCTCTTGTGGGCTCCTGCCGGAACAATAGAGAACTAAAAATTGTTTTGTCTTACCAATGATTTTTCTGAACGACCAACAAGAAAATTCTTTTACTGGAACACAATTGAATTTTTTTCCCCCTTTTGCAGGGCCCTAGGAAAAAAATTCTTCTTGCTCTCCTGCCTCGTTCCAGGCGGCCTATGGGATAAAGCACCTTCAAAAGCAAGGTTATATGTGGAGCATTAGTGTTGTTTCTATGATGGGGAGGTCATATATATCACATCACTTGACCTCTGATTTCCTACTAGATTTGAGTTAGAAGGTAGCCATGAATCAGTTCAGTTTTAATTGTAGCAGTTAAAATTAGCTTATGGTAGTAAATTTTCAATTGTAGGATGTTCTGTTCTGTGCTAAATTTTGTCCGACTGCTGTTCATATTTCACTTTTGTTGGTTTTCCCCATTTGGAATATAATATGGAAATTGATCAGTGAAACGAAGCTACTCTATATGACCCCATGCTTATTTTGTTTAATTGCAACACCTTCCAAGCTTTTGATGATTTCTTTCATGGTTGGACATGTACTACCATATGCTTTGTCTTCTGGAATTAATTATCTTCAATTGCGTAGACTGCATTTTATCTTCTGGTCAGATGTGCTCGCAATATCAAGTCAGTGTATAAAGTCATGTGATTCGTAAACGGGTACTGTATCAGTTTTCTCTTCGCATTTGCTCTTCATTTAGAACCACCAGACTCTCACTCATTTGCTCTTCATTTAGAACCACCAGACTCTCACTCTCTCGCACTCATTCGCGCACGCACACATATTTACTGTTCTATTCTGAACCGCCCCACCCTTACTAAAAAAACTACCTAATCCACCATCGTCATTAGCCCCACAAGTGCACCGTCTCTTCTGGTCAATCCCCAAGTGTATTGCCTCTATCTCTTCTGGTCAATCCCCAAGTGTATTGCCTCAGATAGATTCCGATCAGGTAAGACCTCATGCCGTTAACGGTAACGGTGGCTATAGGCAACGATGGTTGATTGTGATAGAGAAAAGTAGGAGAAAAGACAACACCAGAAAGTTGGCATATATTGCAGTGTATAACAGTACCATCTTTTGGCACTGAAACTTTTCATTGTTATTGCTTTTGGGAGTTTATTCTATGTTTTGATCCGATATGTTTGTTTAGGCGGCGATATCCGAAGATCAGTTGGTGCCAAAAGGCAAATATGGAATCCAATTATGTAAAAGTAGCATCTGATTTCATATCTTACTTTTGACAGGCTCTTCAATAATTTGATCCTTTTTCACTCATTGTGTTTGAAGTTTAAAGCATGTTCTTTCTACAGTGCAGTATTGTGTGTCAATAAGAGAACTGTTGATGTTTTTGTAGAAGTTAACAGTGAAAACAACATTTTAAGTACAAAAAAATTTATTGTTTCGATTTTTTATCATTATTCACGAAACGTCTTGACATTGTGAAAAATAAAACATTTTTTGTACTAAAAATGTTGTTTTCGCTGTTATCTTCTGCAAAAACAAAAGCATAAAAAACAAACGGATATGAACTAGGCTTTACTACACATGATGGATAAATAGTTTTAGGCATGTTTGATGACAAAAAAAATAAGAAAACAGTTTCAAAGACTTTGATTTATGCAAAGCCTTTGATCGTCACTCAAGTTGGAGTTCTCTGAATTAGATCAAGCTTAGAAGTCAAAAAGTTATTTATTTGAGATGGAGACATTTGTTCCTTCCATATCAATAATGATAAAACATCCCAAGTATGTACATAGATTAGGAGCTAGAAGTGCTTTATATCAGATTTCGTTTTCGAGTAACCGGAAAGTAATTCCAACGTGAAAAGTGCTTAACCATCACGTTTTCACACATTTTTTTTGACTTTTCAAGGACGAAGCTGCGTGTATGCTCCTTAGCAAAAATACTCGTTAGAAAATACAATGAATTTATGGGATTATAATATATTATTCAGCATTGGAAAATAGCAACCATTTTTATGTTGAAATTGAAAAGTGAGAGTGAAATTCACGGCGTAATGTTTTTTTTTTATTATTATTAATTTTTTATTTTTAATCCTGATAAATAAGGCGGAGAGAAACTCGAATAGAGGCATATCAGCTCGTAATGTCTTCTTTTTATTGCATGTCAAGCGTTTTTTTTGTGAAATTCACCATTTAATGTTTTTTTTTATTATTACTTTTTTATTTTTAATTTTGGTAAACAAGGAGGAGAGGAACTCGAATACGAGCATATCCATTCGGGGAAAAGATAGGCTTGAGCCCTGACAAAAATAAAGACATGATACCTTTAAGCCCGTGCCGTTGATAAAGATGTTTATTATTTGAGCATTTATGGGGAATGTGAAAGCGGAAGTCATTTTAGAAAGGAAAATAAGCTGCGCCAGTCTTGGAATTCCTAGAGGCATTTTCTTGCATGGGTTTTGAGTGTGAAAAAGACATTTTGGGTGGGGTGTGAAAAGATATTGAAGCAAAGATTTTTTTTTATTATTATTTTTTTCAAACTCCAATATTAATCCGACTGTTCGCACATATTAAATGGTGTGTCTCGATTCTTTATTGAACGTGTTGTAATATTTTAAAAGTAATTAAATCTATTTTAAGCACATTAAATTTGTCTGTGGCGTAGGTAGATTATTTAATGCTTTGAAATTAAATTTAATTGTGTTGGGGCGTGTTTATAATATGGTGGAGTGTGTTACAAAATATTGAATAATATTTAGGTCTTCACTAACGAGGATGTACTTTTTTTAACTGTTAATATGAATTAATAATAAATATATACGTCCTATTTAATTATCATATCATATATTAAAAAAATATATGTATTTATTATTAATACAAGTCAACTGTAAAAACAATATAAATTCTTACTTCAAAAGACCTAACTATTGTTCGAAAATCTCGTCCCGACACTAATTGATGGCATGACAGTTCTTTGCCATTAAGGTTTGGGAAGAACATTTAGCCGACCGACGCTAATTGATACCATGACACTATGTGTGCCATTAAGATATGGGGAGAAAAACACCGAGAGGATTGAAGTCCGTCAAAAAGATGGGATGAGTGGTGTGACAATTTTACTTTAGGTGAAGCTTATCTAATGTGGACGCATAATGTGAAATTGATTGGACTATCAAAGTGAGATCTTTTCGCATGCCTTTGATGCTTTTTATTTTTATTTTACTTTTGCCTTATATTTCTTTTCTTGGAAAATGGCATTTTTTACCCTGCAAAGGCGACTCACTGGAGGATTTTTGTAAAAGTCAATTGGATCATGGCTCATCGTATAGTCTGATGTGCGACTCTTTTTTAAGTTCGATACGTATCGTCCGATATGTGATTCTTTTTTAAGTTCAATACGTATCGTCCGATATGCGACTCTTTTTTAAATTCGATACGTATCGGTTAATTTATACTGACTTTATCCGAATCCGTTATACCGCGACCGATACTGTGAACCATGAATTGGATAAATTCCACTAGTTTCTTCCGAGATTTATCAATATTTTACATAGACCCTATTTATATTTCATAATTTTACTCACCCCCTTATGGTGTGTTATTTATCATTTTGCCTATTACATGTTTTTTGTCATTTCAGACATTGAAATGGCAAAATTGACCTTTTGGTCACCGACAGGGGAGGTAAGTGGGATTACAAGGGAGGTAAGTGAAATTATGAAACGTAAAGAGATCTATGTGTAATATTAACAAACTTCAAGGAATAAGTGAAATTAATCCAAGACAATTTGGTAAGGATAGAAAAGGTAATTCATTTTGATCGACTTTGCAAGGGATCTTCATAAGAGAGATTTAATATACTTTCAAGCAATTTAAATAAATTTGATTACTAAAAGTCTAAAACCAAGGCATTTTAGTAAACATTTATTAAATTATTTTTTTATTATTTATGTAAAAAAAACATTTATATTGAAAATTCTTTTATAAAACAATTTGATTGACCATAAAGTTTTAAATTGATACTCAAGTGAAACAAGATCCAAACGCGCCTTAAGGCTCTGTTCGTTAGGAAAGAAATAAATTGGATGGAAGAGAGGAAGAAGGGAATGATGAGATTTTCCTAAGGAAGAGATTATGGACTTTCTTTGTTTTGTTCGGTTGGATGGAAGAGAAGAGAAGAACCTATCAAATTCATTTGTTCGTTGCGAGAAAAGGGAAGAGAGAATTTAAAATTATTTTTACCATTATACCCTTCATTATTTTTTTCCGTACCATTAATTTCACTCAATTTATTGTTTGCTTTAATTATATATATATATATATATATATATATATATATATATATATAATCATATTTCATATATCATGAATAATAATAATATAAAAAAAATGTACCCCACTATCTACATACTTCGTTGATAAATATTATCCTAGCAGAGTTATGTCAAACTAAAATTTTTATTTTCAACCATTTACGTTGTATTTAACTTGCATTACAACATGAGATCTGAACACTCAAAATTATTTGCACCACTAGTTGTAGTCTTACAAATATATGGCAATACTAATGAAGTAACTACTGTTTGTCAAACTAGGTGTCAACATGTACGGTTCTTCTTTTTTTTTTTTTTTTTTTTTTTTTTTTTTTTTTTTTTTTCGTTCTAAATATGTTATAAAAAAAATACACAGTCTAAATAAAGCATTTTTGTTTTTTTGGTTCTAAATATGGATCTTTTATGGTTCTTTATATAGACTATGTATTTTTTCTTCTTAATCCTCTTTTTTACTAATAAGAAAATTATATAACAAACAATCCATATATATATATATATATATATGTATATATATAAGATCTAGATCTCGACCAAACAAGGATTACATGACCTGATATATATATATATATAACACATTAATCATACCTTGATAGAGTTTTTTTTGTGTGAGATGAGATGTGTATGGTTTAATTTTTAATATTTGGAAAGAATAATATTGTAATTTTATAATAGTTATACTTATTTTCTCTCCCGTCTTCCGTCCAAATTTGGGCGGATGAAAATTTGTAAAGAAGGAGGGATTAGACATCCCTTCTATTATCCTTTCCCTCCGTGTCTCTTTCTTACCGAACGAAGGAATTTTGTTCCTTCCCTCTTATTTTCTTTCCACCCCTTTCTTCTTTCCTACCTAACGGAGCATAAGTGGAATAATATTTGATAGTGAATCTGAAGAGGCTTTTATGCTGTTATTTAGTAGGAGAGAGTCTTGTCGTAATATTACATATTCTTAAAGTGTACTTGCGACAATAATCAATAAAGTGATTAAAATTAAATTAGTATCTTTATTTAATTGGAGTTAGGATAAATAAACTCTTTAATCCTCATATAAAAAATGGTTTTAACGTAATTTTCTTTTGAAAAAGTAAAACATAGATTTGAAAAATTGGACATGTATCACATGAGGTGCCCCGAAACTAATAAAAGAACAATCAATGGTCAAAATTTGAATGGGAAATCAAGGATAAAATGTGTGAAATAAATATTTAATTTTATAAT